GATCACTAAAAAAACTTTAAATTATTCAGCTAGAAAGAGAACAGGTTAAAATCGTTTTGTCAGCTCCACTGCCTTCCCAACAGAGCAATGGTGAGAGGAAAAAGATCATTCAGGCCTTCAGTAATGATACCAGTATTCATACTCTGGCTTCCATTCAAAGTCCATTCATGAACCATCAAGAGAACGGCGAATAAGTTTAAAAAAGAGGGAACAATGTAGAGGAAAACTGGATCAGGAAGTCATAACAGGAAGAGCATTCATCTTTAACTAAAGAGATCAGTTAGAAAAGATTCAACTCGATCTACAAGATGTAAAAGAGAAGTTTCTGCTATGTCAGTCCAAAGAGCGGTGAAAAAAAGAGTTAAAATGAAATTGTACGCGAAACGTGTGAGGCATCTTGCTGCCCTAGGACAGAAAGTTAGAAGGTTAGAGAGGGTAAAGATCACCTAGAATATGTTGGAAAATGAGGCTCTCATTTGTCTCTCAACTCGATGTTGGATGATGAAGGAATACAACTTAAAAATTGTTTAATTGGGGCTGATCTACCATTCTCTTGGCAGTAAACCCAAAGCTCTTGCAAGTTTTTTGGTTTACTATTATATGCACAAGTTTTCAACACTTTCCATATAACCTTGATTATGTTAATGGAAGGGTTTTAAGCAGGCCAATCTGAACACTGAAGTATTTTCATCATTTAGAAAATTCTTTGTTACACGCGATGTATGGCAGGGTAATTAATCATCTTGAAATGTTTCACCTTCTGCTGTATCTGCTAAGAGATGAAACTTTAGCAAAGTAATATATTTCTTGGTGTTAAGTTATCTATCATTCTTTTTATCCCCTTGTACCATTGCTTTTGATGTAGACTAAAATAGAAAGATAGAGAGGAACGGAGAGAGAAGAGACTAAAATCCCGACCGTCGAATTTTAATGTTTTTGTTGTATATTTGGGATTACTTCGTGTAGTAATTTGTCATCAGACATACTGTCTTTTGCATTCGAATTCTATTGTGTTTTCCGTACTAAATACGACTTTTGACTATATTTGTTATTGTCTGGGTGAATGAAACATTATGTAGTGATATTTCAAGCTTATTAGCGATTTCACGTAGACTCATTCTTTTAGACATTTCGATTCATTTCATCCTCTTCCCTAAACTTATTCTTCAAGTTTTGAAACTTAAATCAACTTCGCTAAAAAGTACGGGGTGCAAAATTAATTTCAACTCTGAGTTAGGGTTTTTAAATAGGGCTGAAATTGGTTCCGAGTTGAAATTGGTTCCGAGTTGAAATTGGTTCTGTCACTCAAAAGTACAGGTTGAAGGATGCAGATTTTATGCAATCTGTGTTTGATCATTTAACATATAAATTTGCATGCGTAGCTTAATCAGAGATGATACAAATATTGTAGGACGTCAAGTGGCTCACGTGCCTTGTTTTTAGTTTCGCTTTGCGTTCAAGTCTGTACGTTGGAGTGAACGCAAAAAACGAACATCGTCGAAAACGAATCCGCGTCATGTGCGCCGTTTACCAAGGAAAAAGTGTAAAAGCCAACCAGAAAAAGAATACAAGAAGAAACGACGACCTGAGTAAACATAAGATGCGTTGGCCTTTCCAAAAGAAAAATGACGCGCCTGCCCTATATAAACTCTCGTCGCCAGCGTGATTCTCGAAGGATATGTCAGTTCTGAGCGATATTCGCGTCGCGCTATGCAAGTTCTACAAAACTGGTAACTTGATTGCAGTCATGAGTTTGTGGGAGGGCAAATTCTTGAAATGTGCGATGCTACATTGATTTTTACCCACACACCACACATGAAATTCTACAACATACCTCATTTGGACTGGATTCCCTTGAATACAAGTTTCATTACATTCCTGAAAGAACATTGTCAAATAATTAAATCTTCTGAGTAAAACATAAGCAAATTGATTTTTCACCTCGGTGACTCATCACTTTTACTTGTGTATATATATATATATATATATATATATATATATATATGTTATTTTTCTAGATACAAATATTTAAATTCACTGATTATAATAAACAGTATTAACTACATTTACTGGCCTGAATGTCCGAGAAATTTCATAGAAAATGTGTCCTCCGATAGGACTCGAAGCTGTAACCTACAGGGAACCATCATATAGCCTGACGTGCTATACCATTTAGCTACATAAGAAGCATCTGGTTAGCAAGGTGAAATTACTGTTTTTAAGCAACAGATTTACTATGTTTTTTTTCTCGAACTCTCATATCTGCTCGCAACGTAAACAAATGACATCATCTTGTGTGTGTCTCTACGTTTATATATTGGATAGGATTTCCTACATTTTTCAACTGATTTCAACAAAACTTCACAGGACTACGTAAAATTACCTTGCGGTGGTTCTAACAGTGCCAAAAATTGGAAAGACACAATTGTTTTTGCACGAAATCAATTTGAAAACACGATTAAGAGGCATCATCACGAGAATGAAAGGGGGACAACTCATATCGGGTTATACTTATTATAAAACACAGGTTGTTTGTGTGTGTTCGTATATATATGGGATCGGATTTCCTACATTTTTCAACAAATTTTAACAAAACTTCACTTTTTTTTGGCAGGTAGTGTTTCTTATTGTTTTGCACACTTTTTCTTTATTTTTACATTCTGAATGCTTTAAAAATTCCATTTATAAGACAATTGTTTATAATAAAAATTCAATTGATAGACTCATAACGATTGAAAACAATGTTTTTGTTTTAGTTTGGGTTTGACCAATTCGTAAAAAAAAAAAACTAATTAAGACATGCTCGTCCGTCAACCTTAAACAATCTTTGTCAATTTCATTTTTCAGTCTTCATGATGGTCGATACTTGATCTATCTCTTACTGTTACATCCCCGGGCAACGCCGGGCTCTACTGCTAGTATATTATGAAATGGACTTAGTCGGACAATGATTTTAATATATTTTCTGTTTATACGTTATTTTTATAGATAGAAATATTTAAGTAAATGCTCTGATTATAATAAACAGTATTAACTACATTTAGCCGCCTGAAAGTTAATACTGTTCATTATAAACAGAGCATTTACTTAAATATTTCTATCTATAACAATAACGTGTATATATGTTTGTTGTCTTTTTTTCTCTCGACTATTTATATATACGGGTTAGTGGTGCATTGTGGGTAGTTCATTCTACAATAATCGATCCACAAATTGGACGGAAAAAACTTTAATTACCTCCCCAGACCAAAAACAAACTACTAAATAAACGATCAGAACTCATCTAAAAAATTTTTTACTACGTTACTAAAACATCGTAAATCGAATAATATATATATATATATATACAACCAACCGCATTTTAACCCACAATTATTTCTACACACTATCCTTTAAAATAATTTTAAATATAATCGCTGCTGCCTACCGAATGATCGTTAGGATGATATAATAAACCGGAAATACTTGAACTTGCTACCCATAATGCTCCATTGACCAGCATGTATAAATCGTCAAACCATCATACAACACACATGGCCTGAAGATTGCGTTCAAGCAAGAAACAGATTTTTACTACCAGGTGTTGACCTCGATGTCCACTTTTATATTTACACATGCTCTATCCTTGATATAGAGCACATTTACTTACAAATATAGCATACTTTACAAGTATATATTTTTCTATCTTATCATCCCACCTCAAATTTACAGCCTGGCAACTCCGCTGATCTAGCTCTCACGACTCAATGATGAAACGACTGGTTTGTCTGATTCAATGTCACCAAAACAATGCTAGCCACATTGGATCATCACTGATCAGACCCTAAATTTATTCCAGTTTTGTTGAGCGATTGTACTCTCAATGCGCTTCCTTGCCTCGAACTTCTTTGAGGACTAAAGCTCTCTCCGGATGGGACTCGTATATTTGTATCCTCATTAAAGATACTGGAAGTATGATCAGTTCTTTGTACCATTCTAACTCCTCCTATCATGCTCTGCCTTTACATAAATTAGATCAGACCAAACATGCAGTATTGGCTCAATACCTGAGCTGCATCTGCCCAGCCATCACTTTGACAGAATTCAAAAGCATTAACGCGGCCTTTTAGGTGATGAATTATTTTCCACTCTGCAACCATTTTCTCGCTATTCTATCCCTATTTCGATGACAAAGGTTCAAACGTGTTTCATTCCTTAGTTCCACCAGTTCAGACCTTCAGAGCTAGGACCAATTATACCACGTACACAAGGTTAGCTCCTCCTGATTCCTTTTGTATCCCATTCCACTCTTTTCAAGAACCACTACTTTGGGAAACAAACTCCCCAGGGGATACTTTCCCGACTATTACAATCTTAACTTCTTCAAGTCTGGGTGTCTAGTTTACATATTTTCACAATATGCACTTCTTACAACCTCTATTTACGCCCTTACAACATCCTCATTCAGTACCTCTACATTGAGTGGCTCTTGTGCCTTGTATTTGGTAAAAAAATCTCCTTTGGTCATACTCTGAGAAGTGAGTGTGGCCGTGAGTCTTACGAACCCACACCGTCCTGCCTATATGACAAGAGCTTCATTTCAAAATCTGTTTATATATATATATATATATATATATATATATATTGTAGAGGGTAGTACAAAGGAGTGCTAAAAAGGTTCCTGTCCGACCGACTTCCCAAACTCTTATGTATACCCTGAGAATCTAGGATTTATATTTAAGATTTTTTTTCTTCCGACTTCGGAATTTTTCTTGTCTCAGAAATGTATCTATTTTTAAGTACAGACATATATTTTTAAATTTATTTTTGAAGTGAAGCATGTACATTTCTATCTTACTGTAATTCGTTCGACCCCCGAGGGAGTCAGACAGCTGAAGTAAGTTAATTGTCGACCAACCAGCTAAATTTGAAATGAAGAAAAAAAATAAAAGGCACAGCCAAATCATATTAACATGGCTGACAAGTGTTACAAGGTCGAATAAAAAAAATATGCTTACGATTCAAAGCAGACGACCAACAAGTAAAAGAAAACATAACAATGGAACGGAGATAGAAAAAGATTTAAAAAGAGGATCGAAAAAGATACGCAATGAAGATGCTGCTAACTTTAAAAAAAAAAAAAAAGAGAAAGAAAAAAACGAGAGGTGGAAGAGAAAGAGAAAAATGTGGAAAAAAATGCGAGAGGAGGAGGAGGAGGAAGGAATAAGCGATAAAAAGAAGCGAGTGAAATAGATAACTAATAAACAGAAAAAAAGAAGCGAGAGGAAAGGTAAGAGATAAATAGAAAAAGAAAGTAGGAGGAGGAGGAAGAGATAAGTGATAGAGAAAGAAGCGAGAGGAGGAAGAGATAGAGATGAATGAAAAAAATAAAAGTAGGAAGAGGAGTGGATAAGAGATAAATAGAAATAAAAGTCAGTGATAAATTTGAACGGACTAAAATAGAAACATAGAGAGGAACGGAGATAGAATAGACTAGAAAATAGAGAGGGAAAGATATTTATAGATTAGAATAGACTATAAAAATAGAGGAAAAGTTATTGATAGATTAAAATAGACTATAGAGAGAGGAAAAGATATTGATAGATAGAATAGAATAGAAAATAGAGAGGAAAAGATATTGATAGATAGATTAGAATGGACTAGAAAATAGAGAGGAATAGATATGATCAGAGGAAGATGATTAAATGTCGATAAATTTCGTCCGCTATTGTTGAATGTTTGCAAATATCGACGGTCATCAGCTTTTGGTCGATTTAATCAACGATGAAACCATGAAAAGTTTTTTTTTCATTTTCGTTAGAATACGACACGGTTGTTTAATGTTTTACTCAGGCTCTGAATTTTAAATTCCAATCGTAAAGATTCACTCTTTATGATGTCACATGTTGGACTGGGGGGGAGATGTTAATAATTGAATGACTGGGCGGAAGTGGGTGGGAGAGAAGATATGGATTCATACATTTCATGCGCCTAAGTGAATATAATGAACCCAACTGAAATTAGAACTCGGCTCTCCGATTAACAATCCCTAGTCATTATCCATTACACCGCCCGCACATTCAAGCTTACAGCACCTGATATTCTCAAACGTTCACAAACGGTACAGATCAGGCTTAACTTCGGTGATCGTACGTGAACCGGTGTTTCAACGTGATATGGCCGTAAGCTTTCAATGAGGTAGACTGACTTCCATATCCATGGACGTAACGAGTACGATGAAGACACGTTATTACTGGACAGAGCTTTCTAGATTAAAGGTAAGGGTCATGACGGTGGGCGAGCCTTCAAGTTGAAGGACATCGACTGTTCTTTAACCTGTAGAGGGATGGGCTCCACCAGGTCTACTTGCCCAGGACTCGCTACGCATGAATGAATACCGCTGTGGCTTCCAACCCAGATATGTGGAGTGAACTGGTCAGGGACTCGAATGCGCAGCGACCACGCCCAGTTATAAGACTGCTGGAGTAGGGGAAAAAAAAAAACTTCAATGTGATGTGGCCATAAGCGAGATTTTTCCATTCTCATTATTTACCTAAAAAAAATCGCAAGCAGTAGACTTCACCTATATTTTTAAGGGCTCTTCTGTTTCATTCTTCGTAACACGTCTTTGTTTCCCCTCCCTTTCACGTCAGGACACCCTGAGAAAGCTGCGTAAGCACCTTAGACGGAAGATGTCAAGTCTCTTGGCTCTTCCATGTTCCACTTCCACACAGAGCAGGGGAAGACAGCAGTTAAACTGTAGCATCATTTTGATGTGGTTTGATCACAAATGACACCCTTAAAAGCCGGAGGCGCGTAAAAAGGATTACGGCGGCCTTGGTGAGGTCTGGAGCTGATTTCTTTATCAGCCTTACAATTGTTGCAAATGTTATTGCTCAGATGCTGGAGAACTTCCATCCCTTCAAGCAGTTGCTAGCTTTGTCTGTTTGCTGTATTTAGGTTTTTTGCTTACGTTTCTGTTATTCAAGCTAACCATACCAGTAGATCGCTAAACTAAAAACCCCATTATATATCGCTATGTCCATTGAAGTGTAAAAGTATATTCTCCAAACTGAAATGATAGGTTTTTAAAAAGCTACAAATCGTATATAGTCCTGTTTGAAACTTTTTTTCTTGAATAATCATTGCCGCCTCAAATAAAACATTAAAAATGGCCGCCATTTCAAAATAATTTTCTTCGGACAGACCAAAAAAAAAAAGATCGTTATGAAATTTTATTGAAAATGGAAACAACAAAAAAAACAAAAAAAAAACACTTGTACTTAACATCCAAAAGTGACAGTTAAGATTTCTAAAGCACATAATGAGAAAAGAGGGCTAAGAAAATTTGACATTCACCGGACATTGAAGGCAAGGTCAGGAGAAAGCAGCGTATAATTCACCTAATGAGATTGTGTAAATAGTTGGTAGAACAGGGATTAGGAGAGACAGCAAATAGACAAACTTTACTAAAGGCTAAAAAGGACAAGTAGGTGTGGAGAGCCGTAATCGCCCTTCAAAATGGCCGCTATATCAAGTGATTTTTTACAGACACATAACAACGGGCTTTATATATGAATAATACTGATTGTTTTTATTTATTTATTTATATGAATAGAAATTTAAATTATTTTCTTTTTTTTCTTTATAATTCTTAGAACTTTTCATTTCCTTTTCTTTCTGACTATATTACAAGTGGTGTACTTAAAAAGAAAAAAAAAACTGTTTTTCACAACGCAACCAATTATCCACCTTGTATTTTATAGAACGACATGATCTTTATACATATATACTAGTCTCGTAACTCAGAATCGTAGTAATGTTGTTTCCTGGGCAAGGAGCCTGACAGAGCCTAACCTCCTCCAGGATGGTTTGAATTCAGAGTTTTCCTTCTTGCCAACCTAGACTATAGAACCCAGTCTACTCTGCTATTTTTTCAGATTTTGAATTCAGAGTTGTTTTTCTTCTAGAGGGCAATAGAACCCAGTCTGTTCTGGTATTTTAAATGGAGGTCATGAGATGGATTCTTACCTCTTCCAAGTAAATGTAATGAACCCGAATTCGAACTCTCCGATTTCTTAGTCCATTATTCTACGGCGTCTCTGATCTTTATGAGGCCCGCAAAATACAGCTCGGTAAATTTTATCGCAAGTAATTCAATATGTGAAATTTCAATAGTTCTTCATGTTACGATTTTTATATATCTGTTTTATTAATTGAAACAGCTAAGAAACATATTACGAAAAGAAAAGGAAGATTTCAGAGAGAGAGAGAGAGAGAAATCAGCAAAAAGAAAATAAGAAAGATAAAATGTTTGGGAGAGAGAAAGATAAAAACAAAATGGAAAGATTTGTGAGCAATACGAAAAAGAAAGAAGAAATAAATTTTGAGATGGATAAGAAAAAGAAAAGTTTGAGAGAAATAAAAAAAACAAAGAAAGAAAAAAATGAATGAATTTAAGAGGGGAAAATAAACAGTTTACGAAGAATAAGGAAGGAAACAATTTTCGAGAGATGGGGAAAGAAAGGAAATTTTCGAGAGATGGGGAAAGAAAGGAAATTTTCGAGAGATGGGGAAAGAAAGGAAATTTTCGAGAGATGGGGAAAGAAAGGAAGTTTGCGAGAGATGGGGAAAGAAAGGAAATTTTCGAGAGATGGGGAAAGAAAGGAAATTTTCGAGAGATGGGGAAAGAAAGGAAATTTTCGAGAGATGGGGAAAGAAAGGAAGTTTGCGAGAGATGTGGAAAGAAAGGAAGTTTGCGAGAGATGTGGAAAGAAAGGAAATTTTCGAGAGATGTGGAAAGAAAGGAAGTTTGCGAGAGATGGGGAAAGAAAGGAAATTTTCGAGAGATGGGGAAAGAAAGGAAGTTTGCGAGAGATGGGGAAAGAAAGGAAGTTTGCGAGAGATGGGGAAAGAAAGGAAATTTTCGAGAGATGGGGAAAGAAAGGAAATTTTCGAGAGATGGGGAAAGAAAGGAAGTTTGTGAGAGATGGGGAAAGAAAGGAAATTTTCGAGAGATGGGGAAAGAAAGGAAGTTTGCGAGAGATGGGGAAAGAAAAGAAGTTTGCGAGAGATGGGGAAAGAAAAGAAGTTTGCGAGAGATGGGGAAAGAAAAGAAGTTTGCGAGAGATGGGGAAAGAAAAGAAGTTTGCGAGAGATGGGGAAAGAAAGGAAAATTCCGAGAGATGGGGAAAGAAAGGAAAATTCCGAGAGATTAGAAAATAGACAGTTTGAGATTGATAAAAAAAAGTTTGCGAAAGATGAGAAAAACAGTTTCAGAAAAATAGGAAAGTAAATTTGCAAGATAGTAAAAGGATGAAAGCGGAAATCCTGACAGGAAAACAAAGTTAATTTGACATGAAAGAAAGAATGAAAGTGACACCAATATTTAAAAAAAATAAGTTAAAAAAAAGAAGAAAACAGAACAATGTTTAATAAAATTTCCAGTGGCAATACAGGTCATCGCCATATTTTGTCCTAATAGTTGTTTGGATAATACTTCGTTTAATTTTCCACTTGCTTGTTTTCAGCGTCTAAAATGGTTGAGTTCTTTTGTTTTTTTTGGGGGGGGGTTGTATTCTAACACGTTCCATGTTTATTCGGAGAATCCTATTTATTTTATTTCTGTAGATTTTAGTGCTTTCTGCCTTTCTTATTAGCCATCAACAACCACAATGCTTGACAAAAAACATGGAAAATAATGCTGATTTATGCAGGAAGACTAATTATTTTATTACCGCTGTTAGTTAAGTGAAGAGAGTGAGAGACTAAAATCTAGTAGCAGTAGTGAAGGCAAAGATAGCCCCAAACACTCTCTTCAGGATATTGGCGATCATGTTTCTCCACAGCTTCCAGTCTTTTGTCGCGCTCGGCAACACTTGCTCTTATAAGAATCCTAGATTACCCGAATCTTTACTCAGCTCCTCTTGCTTTCAATGCGCCCTGAGTGTTAAATTTTCCGGGTCGTCTTTCCTCATTATTCGCCTCTTTGTGATAACGAAATAAAATTTATATAATAAATAATATTTCTTGTTCTCTCTCATATATATATATATATATATATATATACATAATATTGATGCATGTTTCATTAAATAATATAGACAAGTTTTGTCTATTTATTTTAAGTAAGTTCCTTTCATATTGTCTGATAAGCTTAATAACATTATCATTGAAAGACGAAAGGAAATCACCATATTGATACATGTTTAAATCCGATCTAAGCTTTCGGCTTACATAAGCCATTATCAAAGATGACAGTTACATTTCAATATATCAGACAATACACGGACGAAACAATAATGATAGTCTGTTTTTGTTGCATGAAAAATTTCAAAGCAACGACAAACTCGTGTATACGAGACGCAGAAGCCAAAATCGCATCGAAGCTCGTGACGTCACACATGACTACGCGAGAGTGAAAACGAGAAGTATTATGGGAATCCGTTGGTATAAACCAATGGCTTCTGTTATTAATCATAGGCATTTAAGAATATTTGTGGAGATTTCATAGTTTATTTTGTTCAGGTTAGGTTTCAACTGTTTTATGTATATAGCATCAAGAATATTTAGTTTTTGTTTATTGTTTTCACTGTTTAAGTATAGTTGTGTTTTCAGCGAGGATTTTCCGGAATTGTGTACGCGGCCAGGCATGTTGTTTTAAATGCCTAAAATCTCATTGAAATGTAGAGTCAAGCCTCGTGAAAGCGAGTTTGTGGTATGCCCAACATAAATATTATTTAATCCATCCCTCCTCGTTAGTGATTTGCAAAAAAAACAACATAGATTACAAATTCAAGTGCACTTTGGGAGAATGGATTCCCTTGCCTTCCATATGCCTTGTGAGTGTTATATTCCCCAAGGCCTCTTTCTTTCTTCTTGATTTTGACGTGTCTTGAGATTATTACGTTCTCTAATTCATTCTTCATTTCAAAAAGTTACAGGAAATTCTTTATTAGAATGGTTGGCAAAACATTGACTAATTGCCAATCGATTCGGACTTTATAAAATGATAAACGACAAACATTTCCTTTACAATTGATTCACATATTTTAATAATTTAGTAAATGTTTATGAAAAAAAATTTCCCCATTTATTTATTTATAAATTGGTAAATGATGAATATTGTATTGCATTAGTTCTAAATTCTGTTAGTTTTTAGAATTTTGTAAATATAAAATTATTCTTGTAAATAAGAAATTTAATAAGTGCTTAATATTTTTGTCATAAATTCTCAAGAAGAAAAAAATGTATAAATTCACTTTCATATGTTTTAGGTTTTATTAAAATTCTACTCATCGCTTTTTAAAACAATAAATATTGTCGAGGAGTAAAGGTAGTTAAAATAATAGTGGTGTCTAGGGAAAAACCGTCCTTTTGACACACTATTTGGGGGGGGTCTGCGGGCATGAAAATTAAAGATTGCCAAAGATTTAATAAAAATCCTCAGTTAGACATTTTCTTGCTTCGTACGTGGCAAATACGTAAAGAACCGCAAATTGTCTAATTAGCCATTTCCATATGAGATAAGGAAATTTGAAATATGCTCGGGGTAGTTTCGCCTAATACCACAAGTTGCTACAAAACCAAAACATTAATCGAATAATTCGAGTCAATGCCTCGTTAGATCGAGACTTCCATCTGGATGCCATGCATGGCGCCAAACTAAATATCTAAACTGGCAGCTGTATCAAACCGCTTTTTCAGATCAATGGTTAAAATGAAACCTTAACTTTGGCGAGGACGAACTTTCTTTTGAACCGTGCGAACTGGCGCAAGATAATTACAAAGAATTGAACCGAAGAACAAAAGTGACATCAATTTAGGACTTTCAACAACAGTAACAATTAAAACGGATGGAACATGTAACTCTTCGAAAATAATAACATAAGATGTTGACATTCCACACTACATCAAACAAAAAGCTAGGAAGGAGCCCTCCGCTCAATCAGTACTGTAGAGAGTGGTAACAACGACTGCAGTTTAGAAACCTATTTTTCTTGAAAAAATTGTTTAAAGACAAAGATTTAAAAAAAAATTCAACCGTCATTTGCACTGGCTGCTCGGTCAGTGAATGCCTATTGTTTCCATATTAGGGAACGGCTAATGTTACTATACAGGAAACATTCGGCTTTCATTGACCGAACAGCGTTCAGGAACTCAAACTTCTCAAGTCCCCGTTTATCGCCTTTCTAGCGTTAATGAAGGTTTCCTTTCAAACTTTTTGGTTTACAGTAGTGTGAAAAGTTAGTATTACGATTATATCATTATTTATCTATCTAATTACATGCGCTCCTACTACTATTTTGTTATTTGGTAAAGCTCTTTATGATTGATTCATTCATTTTTTACGGCTTATCAACCCTGTGTGGGGTTTTTAGGGGGAAATAATAATGATTAAGTGAGACAAGTGTTAATAATTAGCCCATATCTGGGGGAGAAGAGATTGATTCATACCTTTCCCAACGGGATTCGTGTGTAAGTTAATATAACAAACAGAACGGGAATTAGAACTCAGCTCTCCTATTAACAATTCTAAGCCTTTATCGATTACACCACCTGCACATCCAAATTTACAGCACTTGGTATTCTCAAGCGGTCACCCTTCTAGGTACTGACCAGGCTCGACGTTGCTTAACTTAGATAATTGTATGGGAACCAGTGTTTCAATGCGATGTAGCCGTAAACCAAATTCTTTTTATGATACATAAAATGTAAAACTGATCCGATGATTGAAATAATAAGCAACAAAATGAAATGAAAGATAATTAAGAAATTAATAAGAAAGAAAGAAATTTATATCAAAGACTATTATATCTACTGCTACTAGAAAACATTCAAAGACTATTATTACTACTACTACTAGAAAACAAACAACATTCAAATATTTACTACTACTACTAGAAAACTATCAACATGGCATGTAAAAAAACAAATCGAATAATAACATTAATGGTAATAGTCAAGTTAACCATTTCCATGGATTGAAATTTGGCGTTACTGCCAGCCGAAATTAATAATTAAAACAAATTAAAACGGTATTTCAAGAAATTAGATTCCTAAATCTCTTTCTAATATCGATGTGAGTTTCCTCCCAAACGTTTTTTGTTCTTTTTTTCCTTTGGTAGTGTGGGAAGTTAACAGCTTGATTATATCATTATTTTCTCTTCTAGTTATATTACTGCTATTGGAAGTATTCAACTGATGTGGTTTTTGTTATTTGGTAACGATCTTTATGATTTTGTAGAGCCAAACTATAAGGTCTGGAGAAGGATTGTCTTTAAGAAAAGAGATAACAATTTGACTAGATTTGAACTTTGCCTGCTGGTTGGCCAAAATGCTACGTTATCGTTCAAAATGTCGAATAGGCTCTGAAAGATAGAAGATAAGAATTCAAATCTTATCAATGGTTATGGCTTTTTTTTTCTTTCGGATCCATGCAGCCTAATGACAATAAACCACAAAAAAGCAACAAAATTACGATGAAAGATAAACTAGTTTTGATTTCATAATAATAAGTCTGTCATAACATTTTTTTTTTTAAATGGAAAAAGTATTTTTCTACAACGAAAATGTCAATCCTTTATCTACTGTTCTAAGATTTAAAGACTTTTGGAGTCAGCCTGATTGACTTATCTGACAGGTCCAGACATACCAAACAATTTTAAAGAATTTTGAGACTATTATATTATTTTCCTTTCTAGTTACATATGATATTAATTTTAGTTGTTGCTGCTGTTGGAAGTCTTCAAGTGATGTAAGCATTTTGTTAATATTTTATAAAGCACTTAGTTCTTGATTTTGTAGCGCCAGTCTATAGGATCTAATTAATGGTCTAATTAAGGGTTTATTTAATGATCTATTTAAGAGGATCTAGTTAAGGATTTAATTCAGGGTATAATTAAAGGTCTGTTTAAGGATCTAATTTAATTAAGGATATAATTAAGGGTCTTCTTTAAGATTTAATACATTAATTTGTTTGAAGTCATTTTTAATCAATGATCTGAAAATTTGAGTCTATATAGATGATAGTAAAAACATTTCTGAACTAATTGGACGCCATATGTGACATCCATATGATAGTCTAGATCTGGCGGGACTATTTAATGATATGACTGGAGTTCTTAGGTTAATACTTTGGTTCAGGTAGATGTGCGAAATGCCTGCTGATATATTTAAAAAAACAAACTTACATACGATATTTAAAAAAAAACAGTAAAATTCTCTAACGGCAACCATTTCTCTCTTGTTGTCTACATGCAATACTTATACTGTTTTAATATAGACTTGTATGTACACGAAGAAACACGCCATTGATTGATGCATTAAAAAGAGAAAAATAATTAAAACAAATAAAGTGACGTCGACCTGGGCCTTTTCTCGTATTTATATCAATCTATATATTTTTCTGTTAACTCTCCCTTGGAGTTAATCACACCATGTGTTAGAAGACTTGAAATCGCGGTCATATCAACAAACCCCCTAATGGGTGGAATGCTTCTCAGACAGTGCGTACGAGAGAGGAAAAAGCATCTTTTTGATTGGAAGGAATGATAGTATTTTTTTTATTCTATCGACTCTCAAAAGAATTATCCAAATGTCTTTTAAATACTGCAAATCGTTTTGGCCTCATCTGACGAACCTAAATTTAGAAAATATCTTTGTATGATTCGGTCAAGTGCTCGTTCATGACGTTATCTTCTTTCCGTCAAGCATCATAGCCTGCCAGTGATAAAAAAAAAATATTTTAAAGGCCATCTGGTGATGAAACAGACTTAAGGGAAAAATAGATTCATGCCTATTGCAAAAGTAATAGTAACTTATATAGTCACACTAGAAATTCGAATTAGGCGCGCGCATACACACACACACGCGGGTGCAGGCATCTCTTTATCACGAGAGATGAAGGTAGCATCCTGTCGTAATTCAATGAGCGATCGGATATAGAGGCCGTGCGCTGACCAGTCTACGTGTTCCGACTCTCGGCCGTACCAACAAGATCGAAAGGAATATACGGCATTACATTTAATGCCATTTTGACTGCAGGAGTTTCCGAAAGGTTGTCAAACTCATGCACAAGCCGAAGGCTCAATCAAGAACCCTAGCTTGTGAGAAAAAGAGCACCATAACGCAATTCTCTCCTCCAGAAATTTGGAAACGGCTTGCTGTACTGCTTGGCACTCGCGCCGGGAGCTCCAATACGAACATTTCAGAGTGCTTGGATGTCAATATGAGGGCAGTGCTGAGAATTCGGAAAGAGTCGGTTGAGTCTAATAGTGATTTCGAAGGTACGGCAGCTCGGAAAATTCATAGCTGATGCCCCCGATTTCCGCCATTTGGGCTAACGAAATTCGTCGGTCTTCTCTGATGGAGGCATCCACTCTCTCGATATCTTGCTGATGGGCAACCAGATCGTCCGTTATGCTTGTTCTTGAAAGCGTTTGACTCACCCATACACCTTTCCTTGATTCATGGTACGTGTTCCATGCTATGCGAATATCCAGTGATGACTGCCCTCTGTCAACAGAAAGAAAGCTACGGCGCGCTGTTCCTCGATGCTGCAATCGCTGAGTGAAGCGTCCATACGTCTGATCTCATTGCTTCCTGCCACGCGACTGAAAAATGATTTGATGCGTCATCCCATACGAAAGGACAGCACGTCTGATGAAGTCTTCTCTATTCGAAAGCTCTTGATTGTCTCCTCGTTCAGCGCCTATTTCTCAAAAAGCACGCCTAAAACTCATTATTGTTATCTTTAGTGGACTCATCCAAAATGAGCCCTATTGGGTGTCAGTGTAACTAAGGGAAGATAACCCATATATAAACGAAGGTAAATACGAGGAATATAATTTCCGTTTGCACCGGCAGTAACCCGTGTGCTTCGTCCAATCGACATATGTTCTTTCGTTAATCTAGCGAAACCTTTCAAATCAAAAACATGACAGTTTCCGGTTGGGCTGATCGAAAAAAAATGTTTATCTTACACTAGTTTCTTCACATGTTTTGGGACAAAGAGTTGCAGATTTTCGATCTCTGGTACCGGGCCGGTGATACTTCGTGCCAAACCTTCCCTGAAGTAGGAAATTTTATTCCTGGAACATTTCAGATATTATTATTTACAAACAAAATAATCGCAAAATGCTGTTTTTGCTTGTCCCTCATTTTCCCTGAATTAAAAGTGGATCTGATTAAATAAAATTATCTAAAATGGTGACGTCATGAATCCTGTAAACCGTTAGTGTCATAGGGACATCCAGTGTACTGCAGGCATAGCAGCGTTGGTACCTTGGGTAATATAACCTGACCGAGCGCAGTCCACTTCAGACTGGTTTTCAGTTCATGTTTTCCGTCTTTTAGACTGGTTGTCAATCAAATTACTCAGTCTATAGCTGGAGAATCAAATCAATGAGACTACTAAGACCCAAGAGGATGTAAGACAATCGAGAGAAGGAAACTAAGAAAACGTTACTGAGGAGAGAAAAAACAATGCAATGAACAGTATTCGGGGAACATGAATTCATGCCTTTTTATGTGCGAAGTGAAAGTAAAAAACTGAACCCGACTCACCGATTTCTCTTTTCGTGTCGATAACCGCTACACTATCAGCACCAACCAACATGGCAATAAACCTGAAAACACTTCAGTGGAAGTAGCGTAAATGTTATTATGAAGGAAAATGGAATCTCGATTTCTAGCGACAGCTGTTTATCTTCATTATTGACTGTGCCCTTCAGAAAGGCATGAACCCATTTCTACTCGCTCCCACTATATACAGAATCGATCTCCAGATCTTGATATCGAAGATTATCTTCCACGTTTCACTGAGGTTTGTATAGGTTCTCAGGGGACTCATGTCTCCTTGTATCCTTCCAGAAATCACCTCTCTCTCCTTCTCCTTCTCTCTCTCTTTCTCCTCCTCTCTCTCTCTTTCTCCTCCTCTCTCTCTCTTTCTCCTCCTCTCTTTCTTACTTTCTCTCCCTCTTTCTCTGTCTTTCTTTTCTCTCTCCCTATTTCTCTCCCCCTCTTTTTCTCTCTCCCCCTCTTTCTCCTCTTTATCTCTCTCCTTCTCTCTCTCTTTCCTCTCCCCCTTTCTTTCCCTCCTTTTCCTTACATCTCCCCTCTTTCTCTCTCCCCTCTTCTCTCTCCCCCTTTCTCTCTCCCCCTTTTCTCTCCCCCTTTCTCTCCCCCCTCTTTCTCTCTCCCCCTCTTTCTCTATTAATAGATATCTCAACTGGGGTTTCCTAGTATTCACTTTCCCGCCTTGACAGATTTCAAAATCATTTACGCGGCCTTGTAGGCGATGAATTCGTTTCCCTCTTACACCCCGTTTCCTGCAGGCGAAACATTGCTAGTCTCTCGCTACTTTATTGCTATTTTTATGGCAAATCCTTTAAATGAGTTACATTCCTTAGTTTCGCCACTTCAACAATTTTATAAGACCCTTTATGCCATTTCCACATGGTCGATACATCCTCATTCCCTTCGTATTCCATTGGTAGGGAAGAAGTTCCACTCAGCTTGTTCCCCAAAACTGTGCGACAGAGCCCGTTGAGCAGTGTTTCCCAAACATTGTTCAACGAGCGCCTCCTTTGGGCACAAACCTTTTTGTCAATGCCCTCCTGTCAAATTAAATTTCGAATATGAATTCATTTTTCATAGCAAGATAACACTTATGTATTAGGGCAAAAATAGTTTTAATATTGTTTTCATTTCTATTATAAATGCCAATGATTAAAATACTAAAAAGGTTTTATTTGATAGCTTATTTCAATGTTTGCAATGCGAGGGTTGACTTTGGTGCTGACTGGCTAAGGCTCTTACTTTTGGTTCCATGTTGCTTAGAACTAATCGTAAATCACCTCATTTTGTCATTTGCAGGCTTTTTCTTTGTTTACTAAGAAGCTGTGTAAGTGTTTTGAAACCACATTCAGCCATATTGGAAGTTAGAAAAGCAATGAAGAAAAGTTTGATAGCTTCTCACAGATTTAGATACCTTTCAAAATGTCCTTTTGTAGCCAATATTGAATAATTTCTGAAAATTTGAAAAAAAAAAAAAGATAAATACCCACAATAAAAAATCCCAGTGTCCCCTTTCAACATAACAGAGCCTACTAGAGAATTCTACTGCTCCTGTTGGCAAACACTGCCCGAGGGCATACTTCACTAGTCATAGACTAAGTTCTTCGGCTCTGGGGGTCAACTGTTATCTATCATACATAGCCTCATAATATGTGCTTCTTACTTTCTCTATTTACACCCTTACAACAACATCATTCAGTAAGCCTCTTCCTTGAGTGGGTCCTGGGCCTTGTATTAGTGGAACAATAGTATACAATGATTCCATTTTGGTTTTGAGAGTTCTCCCCCAATTCAGAAATGGCAGTTCCAGATGGTAACCTGGAGTTTGCTTGTTCCTACCTCTTTTCTCTTTTTTATTTTCTTCCAGTGGATGTGCGGGTGGTGTAATTGATGACGGCTCTAAATGAGAAATCGCATAGTCACGTTCGAATTCCAGTCTGATTTATTACATTCACTTATGTGCAAATACACTTGGGAAAGGCATGAATCCATCTCGCCCTTTGTAACAAAGAATCGGCTCAGGACGATAAGAGACTCCGAGTTGGTTGCATGCGGTGCTGTAAGTTCCAGGAGTTACGTCCTCTTCCACAATGGGTTCTTTTGGGAAGACGGCACTGATTATTGCATAAGAATATATATATATATATATATATATATATAAGAGAGAAAGAAAGAAGAGTGTAGTGGTTGTTGGGTTTGTCAGAAATGATTGATTTTTATTTTGAAATATTTCATGATCTTTTTACTTTGCATTCAATATGTAATAGTTAAGGTGTTAGGAGAGCTTGAAAGTATTTTCAATATATTTCTTTTCTTTATTTAAATTCTAAGTGCTATTTAATAGAATCCGATAATTATTACGAAATTTGTTTTGTTGTTGTGATAAGAATAGAAATTTATGAGATCATTTTTATGCATGTGAGGTCCGCTTAAAAGAAACAACACAAAAATAAAAAAAATAGGAGAATTTTCTTTTTCACCTCCATATTTCATTGTCTGATGAAGATTTTATAAAAGCGAAACATGTCAGATTATAATCGTTTCCTATTTGTTCTTTATCCTATCATACAGTTGGATTCCATATTTGATCTATATTGGATTCCAAATCACACACACACACTATATATATATATATATATATATATATATATATATATATATATATATATATATAGACACACACGTGTGTGTGGAGCAAAATGCATTTTTATCATTTATATAAATACACACATGTATGAAGGCATATATGCGTATAAATACATTTAAATACATACATACAGAAATATATATGAAGACATATGTAGACACTGACATATGAAGTGTGTATATATATATATATATATATATATATATATATATATATATATATATATATATATATATATATTATGCGTGGTATTAGTGGGAAGTGGTCAATATAAGTGATAGAGCTAACAAAAATCATATCCATGCAAAATATATAAAGGAAGGCATATGTTAGAATTTAGAAAGGCATATGTAGACACACACATATGAAGGTATATATATATATATATATATATATATATATATATATATATATATATATATAAAGAAGGAAAACAAACAAAGACCAACACATTTTGTCTCTCCTTCATTTTTTTTTCCTTTTTCTGCCGGATAGCCATGATGTGTCGACAAGGAAATGCTTATTTTTCTTTGCACCTTTTTAACAGATTTTGACTCTCCACATATGGACATGCTTCGAAGGTCACATCTGTTGTCAGTTTAATTTAGGCCTCAACAATCATATGTTTCCCAATACTGAATTCCATGACAAGCATCCTCTTACCCCCAAAGGGGTCAGCATTAAATCATCTTCCATTTCAAAAATATGCCTAGACGCAATGAGCTAACGAAACTGTGGCATCAGTCAAGTGGATAAAGAACGTTAAAATATGAGTATTTGCTACCAAGTCAAGAAAGGTTGTGATTAACATAAATTAATTACCCGATGGTTGTTAGTTTTTCTTTTCAATTTTATGGATTTACAGGAATAAAGGCAGATCAAAGGCTTCATTTCAAATCTCTCTTTCTATCTATCTCGGTCCTTTCATATCTATCTATTATCTATCTATCTATCTATCTATCTATCTATCTATCTATCTAGGTCCTTTCATATCTATCTATCTATCTATCTATCTAGGTCCTTTCATATCTATCTATCTATCTATCTATCTAGGTCCTTTCATATCTATCTATCTATCTATCTATCTAGGTCCTTTCATATCTATCTATCTATCTATCTATCTAGATAGACAGATAGAAAGGATATCTATTCATTCATCCATCTATCTATCATATATCTATCTATCTAGGTCCTATTCATCTATTATCTATCTCCATCTATCTATCTATCTATCTAGGTCCCTCTATTCATATCTATCTATCTATCTATCTATCTAGGTCCTTTCATATCTATCTATCTATCTATCTATCTATCTTCAGGTCTATCTATCTATCTAGGTCCTTTCATATCTATCTATCTATCTATCTATCTAGGTCCTATTCTAGGTCCTTTCATCTATCTATCTATCTATCTATCTAGGTCCTTTCATATCTATCTATCTATCTATCTATCTAGGTCCTTTCACATCTCATCTATCTATCTATCTATCTAGGTCCTTTCATATCTATCTATCTATCTATCTATCTATCTAGGTCCTTTCATATCTATCTATCTATCTATCTAGGTCCTTTCATATCTATCTATCTATCTATCTATCTAGGTCCTTTCATATCTATCTATCTATCTATCTATCTAGGTCCTTTCCATCTATCTATCTATCTATCTATCTAGGTCCTTTCATATCTATCTATCTATCTATCTATCTAGGTCCTTTTCATCTGTCTATCTATCTATCTATCTATCTATCTAGGTCCTTTCATATCTATCTATCTATATCTATCTATCTAGGTCCTTTCATATCTAGGACATCTATCTATCTATCTAGGTCCTTTTCTTTATGATCTATCTATCTATCTAGGTCCTTTCATATATCTATCTATCTATCTAGGTCCTTTCATATCTATCTATCTATCTTCAGGTCCTTTCATATCTATCTATCTAGACCTATAGATAGATAGATATGAAAGGACCTAGATAGATAGATAGAAAGGACCTAGATAGATAGATAGATAGATATGAAAGGACCTAGATAGATAGATAGATAGATATGAAAGGACCTAGATAGATAGATAGATAGATAGATATGAAAGGACCTAGATAGATAGATAGATAGATAGATAGATATGAAAGGACCTAGATAGATAGATAGATAGATAGATATGAAAGGACCCAGATAGATAGATAGATAGATAGAAGGATTTCTAGATATAGATAGATAGATAGATTCAGATAGATTCATTATCTCATCTATCTATCTCGGTCCTTTCATATCTATCTATCTCTAAATGTAAAGTGAGAGGAAGGCGACGTTACGTCTGTGGGAATGTAACTGAAGCCGAGATGCTAGATCCGGAGCAATAACATTGCAGATTCTTCTTTGCCTTTTATCAAGAATCTCTAAATATATCACACATATAAATGCATATGTGTCTAATAATTGCTAAACTGTTTGATCGTTGGAAACAGGATCTATAAAGGCTTTGTACAAATTCGTTTCTATCAAATTATCCCATACGTAATCGAAGAATTTCAAATATTCTCTCGTTATAAGGTTTTTGGATGCAATGTTATCAGTCATGACCTAACATCTCGGCTTCAGTTACTTTGTCAACCAAGTGAAGTAGCTTCCTTATGACTTTTCTATAAATATTTTCATTGCATTGTTCAAATGAGCTTTTCCCTTTGGGACTACGATTCTCTGAATTTAAACGCAATACTAATTGGCAGCTAGGTCGCATCATATTACTGATGAAATTGCTAGATGTAACCGTAAGTTCTATTCTAAAAGTTCCTTCTTCTCGCCTGTGAATCTTTCTTCCAGTTTCTGGCTTTCCTGTTAATTATGATCTTTAAAAGTTGAAATGCAAGGCAAATTGTTATCTTCTTTGGCCTTGAATCTTGTTCTTTTTATCGTCCTTTCTTCCTAGTAAAGCTTTCTAAGTTTCTTACACTGTCAGTAAACCTCTTGCATCTTAGGCTGATATTAGCGTTGTTTCGCGTTGAATATGAAATAATTAGGGCACTGGACAAAAGGCTCATAAAATATTTCAAGATAGAAAAGCCCTTCCTGACAAACTAAACGAATCAAAACATATCGTTCTACCCACCACTTTATGACAACTTCATTTGAAAAGAATTTATCTAAGCTCAGCATAAAATTTGTCACTACTTGTAAAGCAGTAAAAGAATTAATACATTGCAAAATAATAAGCTAAAAACATGAATGAGGAATTTACTCTATTACCTGCTATAATTGCCACAAGAAATACATAGGAGAAACCTCAAGGAATTTAAAT